AAAGAAGTTCCCTATTGGAATCCATTTCAAACATTTTTGTTTTGTTTTGGTTTTTTTTATACTGTTTGATTTTGTTTTCTCTTGTTAATTTTTTCTATTCTCTGCCACGCTTATACATTGAATACCTTTATTCCAACACTAACAGGTTTTCTCTACTGGAAAATTTTAAATAAACCTGTCATTATTGCTTCCTTTGATTAAATCTGTGTCATTTTCTTTCTTTGCTTCTTAAACTTTGGGATTACTTAGATGTGGTCTTTTAGCTAGGTCCAGGACAGCCTGCAAAGCCACAGAGAAACCCTGTCTCGAAAAACCAAAACAAAGAAAAAAAAGGATGTTGTATTTTGAGTGTTCTCACCAGATACAAAAAGCTCAGTTGGTAAAGTGGGGACATGGAACCTGGCTTGGTAAAAAAGCAGAGTGATCTAATGTCAGGAGAAAGGAAACAGACTGAGTTCCAGCACAGCCAGGGCTACACAGACAAAACCCCATCAGGAGATGGGGTGGGTGAGTAGACAGGGACAGAGTAGCACTGTGGGGATTTTGCCTCTAAGCATGGTGAGCCTAAGTGGGGAGAAAGTATAGTAAGAGATCCCAGAAAGCAGGAGCTGGAGAGATGACTCAGAGGTTAAGACTGCTCTTCTTGAGGAGCCAAGTTTGGTTTCCAGCACCCAGTTCACAACATGCTGTAACTGATGGTCCCGGTCATCTGATGTCATTTTCTGTCCTCTGTGGAATCCCCAATACCAAAAACACATACACAAATAGGAAAAGAAAGCTCCCAAATCAAGCCTTGCCTGTAGTCTGATCCTTGTAGATATACAAAATAATAAATGTCTTTTTTCTAGAAGTCTCTAAACACACTCAAAGTTCATTACATGTTTATATATGTGGGGAGGTTGCTTTTGGGGTAATTGAGGAACCTATTCTGTCTCTAATTATGTGATTTATTTGTTTGATTTTTTTGGTTTTTCTACACATTTTTTACCAGTGTAAGACCTGTAGTTTTGCTGGAACCAGCTTTGTAGACCAGGTGGCCCAGATATCCAGATATGTGCCTGCTTCTAGCTCCAGAATGCTGGGATTAAAATTGTGCACCACCACACTCATAAATGTAATTTTAAAAAGCTCACTGCAGAATAG